CGGGTTTTAGAGGGTTCAGGGGGGTTGTAGAGGGTTCAGGGGGGTTTTAGAGGGTTTGGGGGGGTTTTAGAGGGTTTAGGGGGGTTTTAGGGGGTTTGGGGATGTTTTAGAGGGTTTGGGGAGTGAAAGAGGGTTTTGGGGAGTGAAAGAGGGTTTTGGGGAGTGAAAGAGGGTTTTGGGGAGTGAAAGAGGGATTTGGGGGGGTTTAGGGGGTTCAGGGGGGTGAAAGAGGGTTCAGCGGTGTTTTGGAGGGTTTGGGGGGGTTTTAGAGGGTTTAGGGAGTGAAAGAGGGTTTTGGGGGTTAAAGAGGGTTTGGGGGTGTTTTAGAGGGTTTAGAGGGTTTAGGGAGTGAAAGAGGGTTTAGGGGGGTTTTAGAGGGTTTAGGGGGGTTTAGAGGGTTTAGAGGGTTTAGGAGTGTTTTAGAGAATACAGAGGTGTTTTAGAGGGTTTAGGAGTGGAGAGGGTTTGGGTGAGGGTTTGAGTGAGGGTTTGAGTGAGGGTTTGAGGGTTAGGGGTTTGGAGGGGTTTGGAGTTGGGTAGGAAGAAGAGACGGCCTGGAGTCCAGTTGCAGCAAATTCCACTCCAGATAAAGAACTCCATTCCATTAATTCAATTAATTCCATTAAATCCATTAAATCCATTAATTCAATTAAATCCATTAATTCAATTAGTTCAATTAATTCATTTAATTCAATTAAATCCATTAAATCCATTAATTCCATTAAATCAACGAATTCAATTAAATCAATGAATTCAATTAATTCAATTAACTCAATTAGTTCAATTGAGAACTCAAAACAAGGCCCTCCACATAAACCCTAAAAGAGGGCGTCGCAACCCTCCCAACCCCCCAAATCAAGCAAACCAAACAAACCCATCAAATCAAACAAAATAAATAAATAAATAAATAACTAATTAAATAAATAAATGAAATAAATAAATAATTAATTATTTATTCGTTCAGGAACATCGGAGTTCCTGCGGATAGTGCAGGTGGTGGAGACAGCCAAAATAGCGACTCCGTCGGACTTCTCCGAAATCTTCGAAGACGTGGCGGAGGGCTGCGGGCCGGAGTTGGTGGGGGGGGCGATGGTGACTCCATCTAACAGAGGCAGCAGTCCTTATTTGATTTGTGATGTGCTGCTGCAGTTTGCTTCTGCTGCTGCATGCGACAGCAGCCTGCAGCAGCTGCAGGGGAGGAGATATGAGGGAAAGCCCATTCAGGCCTTTCGAATCGACCCCGAGGAAGCGGAGACCTTCGTCATCCCCATCATCCGCAAGTGGAAGCAGCAGCAGCAGCAGCAGCAGCAGCAGCAGCAGGGCGGGGAGGAGCGCGGGCAGGAGGCTTGAGCAGCAGCAGCAGCAGCAGCAGAGGGTGCGGCAGCAGCAGCAGCAGCAGCAGCAGGGGAGAGGCTGCTTTGGAGAAGAGGCCGTTTGCAGCCGCGCACGCGAAACCGTGCTGCTCCTGCTGCTGCTGCTGCTGTGGGGTGGGGGGGCATGCAGCAGCAGCAGCAGCAGCAGCAGCAGCAGCAGCAGCAGCAGGCGGGGGGCGCGCCTGCGCGTACGGTTTGATTGCGAATTGAATTCTTTAATTGCCATTTAATTATTTTGCAACTGCCAGTCTTCTTTCTCCCAAAGTCGAAGTAGATCTCCCAAAAAATATAAATCCAGACTCCCAACTTCCACTTCTAACAAATGCAAACCCACCCACGGGACCCATAGTAGTACCCACAGTACCCTGGGGCCCCTGGGGCCCCTGGGGCCCCTGGGGCCCCTGGGGCCCCTGGGGCCCCCTAGTTGATTAGAAGGTGGCATTGGCTGCATTTGCTTCCAACAAGATCCCAACCAACACTCCTACACATGCACCAGCTGGCGCCGCTGCTGCTGCTGCTGCTGCGTAAGCAGCAGCAGCAGCAGCAGCAGCACAGCAGCAGCAGCAGCAGCACAGCAGCAGCAGCAACACAGCAGCAGCAGCAACTCAGCACAACAACAGCAGCAGCAGCAGTAGGACTAGTAGATGTAACAACAGCTGTTATCGTTTTAAATAGTTTACTTTGGTATTTATATTTCTTAAAATTAGTTATTTAGATGAACTAAAGGCGGGGAATGGAATGGGGAAGAAGGCGCAGCCCGCGCAACACGAGCAGCCCGCGCATGCGCTGCGTCGGTGGTTGTTTTGTCGGGATTTTTCGGGGAAAAAAGGAATAAAAGCGCAAATAAAAGAAATAAAAGAAATAAAAGTTTAAATGATTCCAACGAGTCCTCCGGAGCCCCTACGATGGCCGTCCGGGGCGGAGCTCGGGTGTATCGACAGCTCGCCGCGCCGGCGCGGTGTCTGTACAGCGCGTCTTTGGGGAACTAAATGACGGGAAAGCGGCGAATTTGCGCAAAAACCCAACATGAAATATAAATTGTCGGTTTATTTTTGTTATTTGAGCCTCAGCTTCCTCGCGAGCCTCTCGGAGTCGCTGCAGGCCGTCAGCCTCTTCCGCCTGCTGTC